TATGTATAGGCTATGTTTTAGGTGCTGGAAAATAGGGGAGAACAAGATGAAGAAGGTCCCACAGCTCCCATGTTAACATTAGGGTCATGGAGATAAAAATGAAATGATTAGTTAACAGAACAAATTCAAAAAGTGATAACCAAACAGAGCATTGTAAGAGAGGAACAGGGTTCCCTTAAACTTAGTGGTCCAGCAAGGCTCTTAGAAGAGGAGACATATGGGGACCAGCAGATTGCACAATGGTTATGTCACTGGACTCCCACATAGCTGACCGTGGTTCGAGTCAGTCTCAGATCTGGCAGCTTAAAATTCACACTGGATGCATGTGTGTGCATGCCCAAAATCTCAAGAGGAGAATGGAAGAGAAGGGATTGCAGCATGGTCATCCACCTTGGGGGTGGGGGGGTGGGGGGTGGATTTCTCACTTCCTGTCTGTCTTTCCAGCAAGTACATACACCCTATAGCAAAAATCACTCTAAAAAATAAAATAAATAAATAAAGAGAGCAAGAGAGGAAAGAGGGAGAACCTGAGATGCAGCCTAAATGATCAGGATGGGCTAGCCATGAGAAGAAGATTCAGGGCAGAGAAAAAGCAATAGTCCTAATATAGAAACAAGCTTGGCTTATTTAGGGAATGGAAAGGAAGCCAGTCGGCTAGACTGTACAAAAGTCTGTGGGAAAGGACCAACCAGGGCAAACAGGTAGGGCTCATAGGCCAATGTGGTATTTGCTTTTTATTCTAAGTCATTAGATGGTTTTAAGCATGAGAGTGGCATGATTAGCTTTAAACTTTAAAAGACCAGTTGCCACTTGTTAACTGTATATCCTTGGACAAGCTGCATTACCTTTCTTAGCTTAACTTTCTCATCTGTAAAGTTGAGATAATAACTAGTATCTAATACACTGATACACGGATTTAATGAGGTTATGCAAGCCAAGTACACTGCTTGGCACATTGTAATTGTCCAGTAAATGTTTTCAACTAAATCACTACTGCAATATTAAGATAATTCACTATTCCCAGTTATCCAATATGGTAACAAAAAATATCCTCTAAAATTAGTCCTGATTCCAAATTCTGTAATATTCAGACTAGATATTTTCTCACTGAATTTACACTTGGAACCTTCCCCTTACCTGACTCTTATCATTATAATGAACCCCTAGGCTATTTATGTGTGTGTGCATGCCCTTGCATGCGTGCACACACCCTCACACCCACACCACACACCCTAGATAACTCAACATCGCGTTACTCCCGCCCCCCGGGGCCCATAGTGTTCAGTACATTGTATATAAGGTTGGTAGGTAAGTAGAGATGGGTAAACAGACATACAGAGAAAAAAAAGCATGAGGCCAAGAGAAAGAAAGGAGTGCTTCAAGCTGAAGTACTTCAAAGAATGAAATTGTTCAATGATGAGTATATAAAATGTAGAACTGATGACTTTTTGACATGTGTATTATTGTTTTCAGGTATTTACATGGTACTGGAATGCCATGCTGAGGCCGTAACAAAAGACACAGCCCTAATGTAAGCACTTACTGCCAATCTTGCCTCACCGCTACTGAACATCTTTAGCAACACTCTGAGAAACACGAAAGAGCCACTTCTCATATTTACCAAGGTCCTGAAGAAACAGGAGTCATGGAAACCACAGTTGCACAACCCGCGGGGTTAACCTTTGCTTTCCTCATGCATTCAGGTCTAACTGTGGTGTGATCTATGACATCAAGTCCATGTGTAGAATTCCAATTTCTAGATTTTGAAACAAAGATTCACAACAGTGTGGAAACACCGGTTCAGTGGCCTTTCATCTAAATATGTGAATTGTTTCTACACCCTTGAAAGTGGGTAATGAAAGAAGAATGACCCTACCTCCAAATAGAGAAAAGCATAGAAATGTGAGAAGTTACTAATTCAATGAAATAAAATTAATAAAAAATACCACAATAAAAGAAAAAAATTACTGAAGACTGTTCTATGGTATTTAAAAGTACCTTTTTATGTACTATGCATTTTAATTTTCACAGCAATCCTTTAATAAAATAGAGCAGATTTTATGTCCACATATATAGACTTAAAAAACTGACACAGAGTAGATAATTTGCTACAAATTTTCAAAACAGTAAGTGTCAAAAGTAGAACTCTAGCCCAGGCCTTCTTAGTACATTTTCTGCCACCCAAATCTAATTCAGCATACCATGAATGGATCACTTCATTAAAACTGAAAATATTTATATCTAAAAAGAGACAGAGGAGCCAGCTATGTGTGAAATAAGTTGTAAGTAGCATTACTAAAACTCCTCCTAGAATATTATAAACCCTTTCAAGCAGGAAATATTTACTTTACATAAGCATATTCTTCCCAGATCCTTCCAATACTGAATATTCCCTAGCTCCAGGTGATTACGATAATAATAAAGTGTTTTATCTCTTGAATATATAGGTACCGGACTCTGTCCTACATACTCCACACTCATCACATTCAATTCTTACAACACCCTTATGATGAAGGTATCACAACCATCATCATTGTCATCTTTATCACATAGGGTGGGAAAACTGAGGTAAAAAGAAGCTAAGCAACTTGTCTTTCACCATCTAGCGAATGAACTGGAGAGCCAAGATCTAAACTCAGATAGACTTGGACCAGCGACTCCTAACTGTGACATCATGCTGCCTCTTAAAACAGAGGCTTCTTTAACTCATGTCAGTCTGTCCTCTATTAGATTCAGACAAAGAGAAAGGAAGAATCTCTGACTTAAAGATGTAATTTCCTTCCATGCATGGCTGAGCAAGCCCAGTCTGGTAGACCAGTGACTACGCTTCATCTTCAAGGCGCTGGAGGACCCATATGTAAAGTGCCTAGCAGAGAACCTGGCACGACGTATGCAGCTGTCAATTACTGAGTGTCTTCTCCGTGTCTGACTTTATGCTAAGTGCTTTTCTATATATATGCATGCCATAAATGTTAACATTGGATAAAATTGTTTGTTTGGTTTTAGTGGGTTTTTGTTTTGTTTTGTTGTTCTTGAAAGGCTGCATCCAAAGCTGCTTCTTTGGAAATAAAGCTGAGCAAGGAAGAAAACATCTCTTTGCAAAGGAAAGAACTGTGACGTCGCTGGACATAGAAAGCTGCTGTACTTGGCTGTAAGGGAACTATTGGTCTGCTCTCTACAGGGCCCACACACACACAAGAAAGTAGGGAAGGGAGATCACAATGGGACACTGAGGACTCACCTTCCACAGAGAGGTTTCCTCTCCCAGAAAAGAGAAACTTAAAGCACAAAGAAGTTAGAAGCTTTTCTATTCGATGAATTACAAACAAGTTCTCTCCCTGAGTCCCTTTAAATATTACGTTTTCCTGATCTTTTTAAGGGAAAATTTAATTTACAAAAGAAAGAAAAACTGCTTTTATTTTTTTCCTAGTTTTTGCTATAGGGCACAGGTGATTACCAGAGAGAGACAGACAGGCAGACAGAGAAAGAGAAAGTAAGAAAGCAGTCCCCTGTCCCCCTGCACCCCACCAGAGAGAATGGCCATGCTGCGATATCTTCTCCTCCATTCTCCTCTCAGGATTCTGGCCATGGAAGTGGATTTTCAAGTCACAGGGTCAGGTGCTCCAACAGCTGAGGCATGTGGGATCCAGCTGCCTTAACTACCAAATCACCTGCTGGCCCTCAAAAGGAAAAACTGATGGGACCAGCAGATGGCATAATGGCTACATCACTGGACTCCCACATAGTTGACCATGGTTCAAGTTATGGACCCGGTGACTTAAAACTCACACCGGGTGCATGTGCATGCATGCCCAGGATGCCCAAAGAATGTAGGAGAAGGGACTGTGGTACAACCACTTCCCCCAGGAGGTGATTAATCACTTTCTGTCTCTCTGTCTCTCTCTATCTCTCTGGCAAGTGCACAAGCCCTAGAGCAAGAATCTCTCAGGAAACAAAAGAAGAGAGAGAGAGAACTGAATTCACACAGCTTTTCAGAAATCTACACATGTAAAATAAAGGACCAGTCTCCCTTACTAAAACTAAAGTTTGGAGAAAATTTATTTCAAAATAATGCTAACCCATTTGTTCATTATTCATTCACTTATCCGATAAGAATTTATTGAGCAAGAATTATCTTGCATACTTTGTGTTAGATGAAGTAGATATAAACATGAAGAAAAAGCTCCACCCCTAGTCTCGTAAGCAAAAGTGATCTAATGAGAAACAGTGATTCATTAAAATAGGTCAATGACTACTTCTAACTTGCCATGATGTGTTCAAATGACATGGAAATAGTCATATTGTCATACTGACTTGAAAAAAGCCAAACTTGTTAAAGGCACTAAGGAAAAACATGAATATAAATGGAATTAGAGTACAAGTTTATTTGTGTGCAAAAAAATTTTGAAGTCCATGCATAATTTTTTAGAGTATGCATTTTTCATAAACTTTTTAAAGACCCTTTGTGCATGTGTGTGTGTGTGTGTGTGTGTATGTATGTATGTATATAAAAGTTACTTCCTTTATAAAGTAAGTTCCTTTATAACGGTGAATACATTCAACATCAGTGGATTTCAGAGAAAGAGCAGTAATTTAGGACATCTGCCAAATCTAGTAGATTATCCACATAGACCATATCTTTCTCCTCCTCAGTGTTTTTAAAATTCCTGGTCAGTTAGCATATCATATCCAAACAAGAAAAATGTAGAACTACTTTTATTAACAGAGAGGGAAAAGCGGAACAGAGTGACCATACAACTAAGGCAGAGATCTGGAGTTGAGTGCACATTCCACAACCAATATAAATGATATTGATTTTCAGATCATCTACTCTTTTCTATTACTCATACCTCCTTTCCCTTCTATTAGTATAGAGAACTGATGTGTCTGTGCATTTGCTTGATTCCACTGAGAGGCCTGAATCACCACTTGGAAATATCAATCATGCCTCTAAGATTTGTCTCTACTAAAAGCCTGCAGTGAAACGATAATGCACTAACCTGTCTCCAGTTAATGGCAAAATAATGGTTGCTTGAGAAGAAAACACAATGAAAGATAATCTCATTTCAGGGCTGCAAAATAAGAAAAGAGGCAGTTAAAACATTTTTAAAAGAAATATTGATACAATGCAGATGTACGGCTAGGGAGGTTCATTTAAAATTAGATTCAGGGAATGGTCCAGGCTTCTTTTTAAACAGAGCTCCCTAGGCAGATATACTAACTCTTCTTAACATGACTGCATAAGTCATTTTGGACTTAATCAATGCTTCTCAGCCCCCAAACACTACTCCATGACACACAGGGGCCTGCACTTAGAAAGAGACGAACTGGAAAGATAAATTCTGGACAGATGTAAAGTTCTTTCACACAAACACTTGTTCCCTTGGTGTTCTACCTCATCACTTAAAGGCCAGACCCTCCATAGTGATTATGATTAGCCATACCTAGGACTGGAGAAAAGCCAGTTGGACTTAATGCCCACAGCTAAATGAGTCTATGTCAAAGTCACCTGGAAGCAAGAGTACTTAAAGAATGTCATGGAGAAACTAACAAATCACTTTTGCATTGGCATTTTCCATTGGCCAAGTCTCAAACAGCTTATTTTCAATCAGTAGCAATTGCTCTAGTCAGCTATATCTTTCAGGCTTTAAGTACTTTCCTCACAGAATGTTTTTTGTTTCAAGGACACCCTACACAATTATTACTAACTTCCCAAACTGTAAGACCTATAAACTAAACATCAGAATTATCTTCACTTATTCCATTCCTACCGTGTATTGTGAATAAGTGAGCAAATAAACTTGTGTTACAGAACCGCAATTTGCAACGCAGACCAAATGAATAAAATGTATTGAAATGATCTATTGCTTTTGATCATGATCCGGGTGACAATCTCTGCACACTCTAGGATTCAATCAGAACATTTGTAAACAACTGCCTGTCCTGCTTTTGACATTTAAGAATATAGAGTCTTGTTTATTTTTCTTTCCTAGACAGTTTTACCTCTGACCCTGCCCAGAAGTGAGAGTGTTATTATACTTGGCTTTTTCAGGGGACTGATGATTGAACATGGACAGGCATACATTTTTATAGGGATAACTTTACTGTTGCCAATAACAGAAAGCAAGGATTGCCTAGGCCTCTACAGATTGTTTGAAGTTACTTGCAACATGACTTTCAAAATGTTTTGATCATCCAAGCCTGTTTTACTGAAAACATTTGGGCTAACAAGACTGAAAGAAGCAATATTTAATGATACAGTTCTTATTCATGTCCTTTTCATTATCTTGATAAACTTGTATTTGCTCATTGCATTTTTTTCTTTAAAAAAAAAAAAGAGAGAGAGAAAGAGGAAAAAAAAAGGAGGAAAAAATCTTCAAAAACTTGGTGTCTTGAGGTTATTTTTAAAAAGGAGATGCCACTAATTCCTAGTTACCTCTAAATAACAGAGTAAGATAGATTTCATAGCAGTGATGCTTTTTATAGGGGAGGAAACCAGTCTTCCTTAGCGAGGCTTACTGCATATATAATAGAACAGTTAAATTTTAAACCATCCACACACCCACACATTGTGTAAACACAAGTCGTTTCTTTAAACACACACACACACAAGTGCCTTTTCTGGTAGTGGATTATTAACACATGTTCATTTGAAGTTTTCTAACACTTTGTTTTTTCAGTGAAGGCCTCTATGATGGCATTGAGGGGAAAGGGAAATATATTATAGACACTATTAGCATAAAATTTATTTTAATGTGATAAATTTCGAGAAAGCAGTACTGAAATCCAAAACAGATGAAATTCAGAAAGGCAAAGACATTTGGAGGAGTATTTGAAGATGCTTCCCCAGAGTCTGAGCCAAGTTTCTGGGATCCAGATGAAAGAAGCCGTTCAGGACTTCAGGACTGTCCTGATATCAGCAAACAAATCAGCATTTCAGGATAGGTTTACCTGCTAAAGTTTTCAGAAAAGGAAAACCCTACACTTTGGTCTACTTTTCCTCCACTGTGTAGAAAAGTAAAGTGGAAAAAATACCTTACAAATCTCAAAGTAAGTTGCTGGACAAAATCGTAAATTTCAATCCAGTTATTTGACACACTCCCAGACCTGGAAAAAAAAAAATCGAACTGATCAGAAAAACGAAACCTGGGGTGGAAATGTCAACTTTTCACACCTGTGCTTTCTTTAAAACCACAAAGACGAGAAGCTGAGGTCTTCTTCCAATAAAGTAACGATATCTGAAACTTTGGTGCAGCCCAGAGTCGAGGAAGTCCCCTCACCTTAGGAGTCACTACCTGCAGGCTAGTTGTTTCCAGTAGGACCTGACTCCAAATATAAATCCCAACGCCACCCTAAGCAGGAAATGTAAACTACCTTGGTTAAGCTAATCCTAGACTTTTCCTAGCTCCCAGGAAAGCGCTGGGGTCTAGATAAAACTCGGTCAACTCTGGTCAGCGTTGGGGGGCTGGGGTGAGACGGGGTAAGGACTGAGGTGCGGAGAGAGTCCCGTCCGGGACCTCTTCCCAGTGGGCCCCCAAGACTAGCGAGCAGTGAATACCTCCCTCCCCAGGAGCCAAGCAGCCTGGAGTTTCTGTCACCCTCTCCATCCTGACTTCAGCACGCACAGATCCCAAAGCGCTTGCCCTTCGCGAGGCGACAGCAACAGGGCTCCCGCGGGCGGGTTTCAAAGCCAGTCCCGGGGCGCGCACAGCTCAGCCTCCCCAGCCCCAGCGGACCTCCGCCCTCGCCGGAGACCCTGCCCTCCCGCCCGCACTCACTTGTCCAGGACGAAGTAGAGATCAAAGGCTGTTCTGCAGGAGGGCTGCTCCTGGGCCCGCAGCAGCCCCCAGGGACCGCTGAGCGCCAGCAGCCACAGCCCGGGGAAGAGGGCCGGGGGCCCGCCCCGCCCCCATCCTGCGGCGGGGGGCCTGCGACTCTCTCCGACACGCAGCCCCTTCGGATCCGCTCTGTTGAGACGCGAAGGTGGCCAGAGTCACCAGGGACGCTCCCAGAGGGGAGGGGAGCCAGCAGCTGGGGCGCCGGCGCCTGGGGCACCGGGACGCACAGACTGACAGAGGGAGGGAGCAAGGGAGAGAGGGAGGTCCTGGGAGGACAAAGGGAGCCTCCGCCACTGCTGCAGCTGCCGCCGGAACTCCCGACGAATCCCAGTGGCAGCGCGATCCGTCCTCCCCCTCCGGATTCCGGAGAGTTCCTGGAGACAATGAAGGCCCGCAGCGACAGCCCGCCAAAGAAGTTCCTCCGGGGCCTGGGGCAGAGCCGCTGGCGCCGAGCTCGGACCCGGACTGAGTCGGGTTCCGCCCGGAAGGTGAAGTTCCGCCGCTGCCGTGTGCTCGGGCACCCGCGTCCCGGAGCTGCGGAGGTCTGTCCTTCTGGTCCCCTTCGTCCCGCGGCCCCACTCCCCGCCGAGCTCCCAAACTTTCTTCCCGGGGCTCGGCGGTGGCGCAGCGCCGCGGGGCCGGCCCCTTTAGGGGAGGAGGCACAGCCGGCCCGGAGCTCGCGGTGGAGACGCGGCGCAGGGCGGGAGCGCTCCGCCTGGACCAGCCCGGGTGTCGCTGCGCCGCAGGGCGAGGGCGGGGCGGGGGGGGGGCGGGGGGCCAC